TATACTAAAGATGTCTCCTTTGAAGCTCCAGATCTTCACTTGGATTCTCATACATGAGGATTTCCTGTTTTTCCCTTACTTCCTTGATATTTTCCTTTGCACTGAAGTCGCCATCTCTCTCACTAGCTTCATTAGATTTGCCTCTTAGTTTTATTCCTGTGCTTTTATGCCAACTATTTATTCTCTTCCCAACAGTCAGAATGATCATTTAAAATTGTAAATTAGAAAAATGTTGCTCAAAATACTTTAATGGCTTCCCACCATACTTAGATCAAAATCCATAATCTTTACCATGGCTTTCAAAGTCTTACAGGATTTGGTCCCCAGATCTATGATGCTACCTCTTACCACCCCCCTTTTTTTTTTCCTTCAACTCAACTTAGGTCAGGGAGTGGCCTCCTTGATGATCCTTGTACAAGTCACTCTTGTTCCAACCCCAAGTGCTTTGTCACTACTATTTTCTGTCTCTGAAAGTTTTGTTGTTCAGATCTTTTTATGGCTTGCTTTCTCATTTTATTCAGGTCTCTGCTCACCTTCTCAGAGAGACTTTCTCCGACTAGCATTCATCATCCTTCTTTGTCCCTGCCATGCTTTGTGTGTCACCATTTTACTTCTCACCTCCTGACTTATGTCGCTGTGTATATTTAGTTGCTTACGTGTTTATTACGTACCTCTCTTCACTGGCATGTGAGCTTCTTGAGGGCAGGCGCCATGTTTTACTGTTCACTGCTGTACCCCTAGCACCTAGCATAGAATCTGCCATGTAGTGGACACTCAGTAAATACTTGACAAATAAATGAATGACCTCTGTAATTTCTCAAAATCCATGGTTCCCTCTCTTTTCCTTGCTTTTCCCTCCAGCCTTGGCAATGTGGTGTATCACTGCAGTCACTCACCAAGACCCTCCACCTCCTCAGAACTTCAACCCAACTCCTCTACTTCTCTCTAAAAAAAATTCCACAGCCATTGATGGATTGGTGCCATTTATGAGTTTATACTTTTGAATTCTGCTGGTCCTTTAACCTGTGCCTGCAATCCTTCTCTGTGTCCCTAATCAGTTCTGTCTTGTATTTCCTGTAACGTCTATTTTAAATCTTGACTCTTCCCTTCACCTTCTCCATGAGGAAAGTAAAAGCCATTGTGTGCAATTTGCTTTACCTTACTGTGCACCTTTCTCCCCGCCAAAACATACATAGTATTTAAATCTCATCCACTCTTTCCTTAGCTGTGATCTTCCCCCAGGTAACTCCCCACTTACGCTCTGGATACTTCCCACCTTCTCAGGAAATGGGTGCAAGTGATTACTTTTCTTCCACCTGCATTTTCTCCCCTTTCTGTTGGCTTACTGGCCCCCTCCTAATCCAGCATGCTCCCTTCCCTTTTTGAATTTGCTTGACTCATTATTTATGCCTCTCTGCATGCTTCTTTTGCTTTCTCCCTTACATTTTAGTTCTCTCTTATTTTAATTAATCTTCCTCATTAGTCTAAATTTTACCATATTAACTGTTTTTAAGAGTACAGTTCAGTTGTGTTAAGTATATTCACAATGTTGTACAACCAATTTCCAGAACTCTTTTCATCTTGCAAAACTAAAACTCTGTCCCCATTAAACAAAAAAATCCCATTCTCCCCTCTACCCTCCCCCATGTGCCCACCATTCTACTTTCTGTCTCTATGACTCTGACTACTCTAAATACCTCATATAAATCGAATCACACACTATTTGTCCTTTTGTGACTGGCTTATTTTCCTTAGCATAATGTCCTCAAGGTTCATCCATGTTGTAGCAAGTGTCAGAATTTCCTTGCTTTTTAAGGCTGAATAATATTCCATTGTGTGGATAGACCACATTTTGTTCATCGATTCTTCTCTTTATGGATACTTCAGTTGCTTCCATCTTTTGGTATTGGAATTAATGCTGCTATGAACGTGGGTGTACAAATATCTCTTTGAAACCCTGCTTTCAATTTTGGGGGGTATATACCCAGAAGTGGAATTGTTGGGTCATATTTTAATTCTATTTTTAATTTTTTGAAAAACCAACATACCATTTTCCATAGCAGCTTCCTCGTTTTACATTCCCACTAGCAGTGCACAAGGGTTCCAATTTCTCCATGTCCTTGCCATTACTTTTTATTTCCTATTTGTTGTTGTTATTGATAGTAGGCATCTTAATGGGTGTAAGGTGATATCTTATGGTTTTGGATTTTCATTTCCCTAATGACTAGTGATGTTAAGCATATTTTCATGTGCTTGTTGGCCATCTGTATAACTTATTTGGATAAATGTCTATTCAAGTCCTTTGCCATTTTAAAAATTGGGTCATTTGTTTTTTTTTGTCATTTCTCTGATTTGTCTTTGAATCCCACGTAGTATATACTCCATTACTTTGCCCCACTTCTGAAAACTGGGGTTTGAGAAAGTTGGATGACTGTTAGAGGGTTGTCACACAGGTAGTTGACCATATCTGCCTATACTCTGAGGTCCTGGCTGGGTCTCAAGTACATTCAGGGCTCCAACTAACCTTCTAATTAGTACTTCTGGAAACAATAGTCAGGAGTGCCACCTGAGGAGAACTCTTGAGTTGGACATGCGTGGGTCCATAAAACTTTTCATTGCCTCATCTCAAAACCCACATGAGATGACTTCCTAAGAGGAAAGGTGTCCTTGTCCTAGGGTCAGACTGCTTGGGGGAATTTGGAGGAGTAATTTAGTGTGGGAATTAACTCCAGGCTGAACTATAGAGGTATGCTTTCTGTATAGAAGAGGTCAAAACTCAGGAAGAACAAACTAGAAATCACATCAAGAATCTTCAATTTTGGGGGAGGTCATTTTTTCGTTCAGTAAACACCTATTATGTGCCCAAGAGCCAGGCACTTGGCTAGGGAGGTAGATATAGAATTGCAACTTGGGCAAAGTTAAGTCAGTCTAGTTTGTATCTATCAAATTCCAGAACATAGAGAAGTATTAGAAAACTAGATGCAGAAATGGAGAAATATTAACCACCAGTCTCTGCCTCCTGCTCTTGTCTTCTTGACACTACAACTTTTGTTTTGATTTCCTTCTTTGACAATTTGGGTAAAAATTATAGTGGCTGATTAAAATGTGCCATATTGGAAAGAGCAAGGGAAATTAAAAGGTAGTTTTCCTTTATTACTTAAAAAACCTGTGGTTTAATCAACTGCTGCTTCTCCCCACCTATAGAACACAGAGTGCCTCCGGAGCTAAAGAAGGGGTTTGCTGTTCGGAATGATTGTTCGGAGACTTGGTCACAACCAGCTTATCAGATGACTAAATGAAGTAACACATGTGAAAGCTTCTAGCAAAATCAGGGTAGTGGGGTTTTTTCTTTCCTTTTTTCTTTTTTTCTTGTCTACCCATGAAAAAAGAGATTACTAAGCAAATTAATAAGTTAGCAGGCAAACAAGTAAAGTGCTCTTTTATTTAATAGCAGAGACATTTAGCAGCAGGCCTCTATTCACACATTCAATTTGCTAATTTTAAATGAGTCCCATGTAGTATTTAAAGCATTTACAAGGTTCTTAGCAGCCTTAAAGTTCTGTTCCCCTTCCACTTGTAGCAATGTGACTGCAGTCCTCAAAGAGAAAGAACAGTATTGCTTTTTAAGTGTCCTATTAGTCAGACTGTTCATTTACTTAAACCAACACCCTTTCATTTGTCCCCCTCCCCCTCCCTGATTGAAAACCCCGCAGGCAGCACAGGCTGGCAGAGCAGGAGGGCCTGGCATAGAAGACGTTTGCCATGCACACTGTGATCCAGCTAAAGCAAACTCCTGGTCACCCTTCACACAAGCAGTGCCCTTGGCCTGTGCACTGCCCTTTGCTGCATCTTCATCTGGTGAGCTCCTGCTCATCTTCTGCCACCCAGCTCACAGACCTGTTGCCTTCTCTGAGCCACCTTTTCCAACACCTGTAGGTACTTTGCTCCTCCCTCTATTGAATTCCCATCACACATGGCCAATGTCTGTTAGAACTCTGATTACATTTTATGTCAATGATGTGTTCCCAAGGCTCTCTCCCCACTGGTCTGTGAACTCCTGGAAAACAGGGACTGAAACTGACTCATCTTTTAATCTTCCCACCTATCCCTAAATACCTAGCATAGTTCTTGGCCCAGTAGATATTCAGTAAATATTTGGCAAAAGTTATTATTAAGATCAGGAAGGTAAATGGTAGCGTGGTAAAAAGGAAAAAAAGATTAAAATAGTGGAGACTCTGAAGTAAAGAAGAAAAGAAAATAGAAAGAGATTAGGAGAAAGGGGTAAGAGAGGGAGTAAAGTAAAACACAGACGCTCGGAAGCCAAGGAACACTGAGAAAGGGAACATGGTGAGGTGTGTGAAATTAGCACGATACAACTAGTCGTCACTTCATCAAATACTCTTGGGCACTTCTGAAGCTCATCTACCCCTGCTTTTCTCTAGAAACAAAGAGGGGTGGAAGGAAGAAAAGGCCAGAGTGGAGGAGTGAGGCAACCAACACTGCAGAGTATGAGCTTGGCCACTGCCTTTGGCCTGAGTCTGGAACTGGCCTGCTCCCTTGGCCTCCCCTTCCTCAGCCTCTCGCATCTGATCCAGGCCTGAGCTTTGTCTCCTCTTCTCTTTTCTGCCTGGAGGGTTCATGCATACACAAGTCATATACGTGAGAACAAATGGGCACATATGTGCATGCTTGTTTTCTATTAAGTTTTTTTTTTGCTCTGAAAAAAAAAATCCAAAAGCAGTGTCATACCAAGCCCCTACCTATTCCTGCATTTGCTGTGTCAGAGGGGAGTATTTGCATAGCTCCCTGGGGAGGCTGTGGCTCTTGTCTGCAGCCTTGCAAGAGTGGAAAACCCTGGTGTGCCCCCTAGCTTGCTGAACACATTTACAGTGCATGAAGGGTGAGATACTGTTGTAATAATGCACGTAAACATGCCATAGTATTTATTGTGTCTTTAAGACGAAATGACTTTCAGACTCACTGAGCTCTCTTCCTCACAGGAGATGTGCCACTTGATGGTTGAAGCCTTTTGGAGTTATTTCTCGGGTAACCAAAAAGTGTCTCGCGCCTATAGAGAGCAGCACAGTGCACCCCTGGATAAAAGTCAGGACCCCAGGTGGCTAGTGTGGGCTCTGCCACTCAGTCTGAGGCTGAGTTTTCTTGTCTGTCAAATAGAGTAATCTCACGTACCTACCTCATAGGGTTACTGTGAGGATCAAATCACATGATTTTATAGGACCCTTCATGTGACCAACATTTCACAGTTTTCCAGTGATTTCTATTACCATTCTCTCATCTGATCCTCTCAACAACACTGCCAAATATTTTAATCTTCATTTTTCAGATGAAGAAACTAAAGCTCAAAGAGGAGAAGTGACTTGGCCAAAGCCACATAGCTAGTAAACCAGGATGATGCAAGTTTTCTGTTTTCAAACTCATCTTCAATTATCCCCAGACGCAAACCTGGCTACTCAGTGCTATTGGCTTCATGGCCACTGTTCCTTAACTTCCCTCATGGTTCCTCCTCCCCACAGCCTCTGAAGGTGCTCTGTGTAATGAATTAATTAGCTTTTGTTTTGTTCCCCCCTTCCCTCCTACTTTTTCTGGCCCCTAGAAGAAAACACCAGCAGCCCCAGCAAAGAAAACCAGCACCACCTTCAACATCGTGGGGACCACCTATCCCATCAACCTGGCCAAGGACACTGAGTTCTCCACCATCTCCAAGGGCGCTGCTCCCAGTGCCTCCTCCACCCCGACAATCATTGCTTCGCCCAAGACCACCTACGTGCAGGACATCCCGACTGAGACCAAGACCTACAACAGTGTCAGCAAGGTTGACAAAATTTCCCGCATCATCTTTCCTGTGCTCTTTGCCATTTTCAATCTGGTCTATTGGGCCACATATGTCAATCGGGAGTCAGCTATCAAGGGCATGATCCGCAAACAGTAGATAGTGACAGCACAGCAACCAGAGCACTATATAACCTAGGAAGCATCCAGGCACACATACCCCGGGGCTCCCCTTCATGTGTTTAAGGATTCTTCTTTTAACCCTCCAACAAGCCATGACTCTCAATTCATATTTATGAATCTCAATAAAAAAACAATAACAACAGAAAAAAAATGTCCCTCTGACATTGCTGAGTGTACTCTCAGAGCCAAACACTGCCGTTTGTCCAGTTGCTCATCTTAATCTGCCAGTCTCTCCCAGCTGAGGGCACTACATGTTTTTTATTGCAGTCTGCCCTCTGCAGAAAGAACAGGAGATCTACTACATGTAGTGGGAGATTTGGCTGTTTGAGAGGTCCAGACCAAGGAGAATTGTTGACTGGTCTAGATCAGATGATTCTGACTCACTAGGGAGCCAGGCTGGGCTATCCCATGTGGGAAAGTTACCTCCCTGCCAAAGCAATTAGTCAAATACTAGATGGGACAAGAGAATTGGGCTGGGGGGTAGTTGAGGCTTGAAGTCTGGCTCAAAAGAGAGGGCTACCGGCAGGCAAAAGTCAAATTCTTCCTTCCATATCTGCCACACCCCAAACCCTAGCCCAGGCCCAAGAACTTTGCTCCCACTGTGTCAGGGACCTCTGGTCCTCTGTTGATGCTGATTCTAAGAGGGGCAAATCAGAGTCTAGTTGATTTTTGAGTCAACTAAAACATTATCTTTATTATCAGTTTGATAATATAGTATTTATAGGCCGTTTGATCTCATTCGTTCATAGTGGGAGTAAAAGGGACAGTTATAATTATAAAATTTTATAAGGTAGATAAACTAAGTCTCAGATGTTTGAGTGACTTGCCTAAGCTCCTTACAACTGTCTGTAATAGAAAACTATCTTGCACCCCTTTCCAAGGCCAAAATGAAGAAATGACTAAGAAACAAGGTCTACCTTGACCTCAGAATTGGCACAATCTCAGCAGGCCTGCTGGGTCCTGAATACAGTTTAGTTGGACACCAAAAAGATTTTTAGAAAGTCACAATATGTCACCCAAGCAGGCCACTTCTAACAGTCATGGCTCAAGGGAATGAGATTGTTTAAGCTGGCAGCCCCAGCCACTAGTCCAGAGTATCCTAGAAGCCCAAAGTAAAGCCACAGATGGCACCAAAAGCAGATTCTCCCTGCCCACTCCATGAACAAAGCTCCTAAGGGGTCTGTCATTAGCTGCTGGTTGCCTTTTCACACATCCTTCTTCCCCCATCCCCTGCTTCCTTGCCATTGCTGGGATAATGCATGCCAGTCCCGTTATTCCTAAGACTGTGTCTGTAGGTTAATTCATGACTAGAAGAGTGTAGTGTTGTGGATATGTGGGGATTGGAGGGTGGGGTGGGTGGGGCTGTTAATGATCATCTTAAGGAATTTAGAATGGAAGACTGACCTTTGCCTCTGTGTAGAAATTGTGTTTCCAAATGCTTTGGTGCAATGTTTAGCGGCTGTTTATTAAAATCTTTCTGAATTGTACTTGGGCTACAGAACTTTTTTTGGTCACTCTTTGCCTAACACAGGCAATACTCTGTTCCTGGCTTTCACCCCGACTCTCATGCCACTGTTAACTTCTTAATACCATTGAAATATGCTGGAAAAAAGGTATACCCAGAGCAAGAGACCTGTTACAGTGATCCAAAATGGAACCCATGTGAAAATGTAGCTTTGATTGACTCAGGGGTCTCATTACCCCAATATGACAGAGAAGGAAACACTTATATTGCTCCCTCTGCTAAATTCACCCACTCCCAGGAAATTGAAAGAGATATTTTCATTTCAATTCTAAAGGCTTTCTCTTTTCCACTGATTACTATTTCCCTTATGCAGTAGTTCCCTTAGGTGATAATTATTAGGTAGAGGGAGAGTGAGTGTCTGGTTGGTTGATCCGTGTGTTGGGAAATGGATGATGACCCTTATTTCTTATAGAGTTAGGAAAAATCTGGGAAATAATCTCATGAGATCTGCTTGACAAAATCGCCTGACCCGTAAGAGATGGGGAAAATCTCCTTGGGAGAGCATTTTAAATCATATAAAAGGTTTTCCTATGTTAAATAAAATCAGAGACTTGGACAATCTGACGCTTGGTGCATGTTCCAGCCCTGTGGTCATCTGATGGATACCCTGCTGCCCTAGCAATCTCACAGTCCCTGACTAGTTCAACCATGCCCTTGGAACAACCGTGCAAGGCACATATGGCTGCCTCCCTAGAAAAATAGCCTGATACCAATATTTAAGTGGCATTGTTTCCTTGAAAACCTTTCGAAACCACTTTGCCTCTGAAAGCTATTTCCCTAGTCTTAGGGGAAGTCTCAGGCTGTTCCTATCAGCACTTCTGTTGCTGAGCTCCCCTAGAGTTTGAAACCCTGTGTCAAACTTGGACCAGCATCTCTGGACTCAAATATTTTAAGGTATTTAGAGCAACAGAGCCATATCCCTAGCAGTTCTAGAGGCTGCTGGAAGAATGTATAACACACAGTAGGTACTCAATAAGTGTTTATGAAGAAATGAATGCTAATCTAGATCAGAGCTACATGGGGGAGGGTTTCTTCAGGGTGGTGTTGGAGAGGAGACAAGCTAAACCATGATCAATGGGAGACTAATGGAAATACACAAATGCAATTTGTAGCCTTCTAAAGCAGCTCGAAGAGCATCCAAGTGCTAATAAATGTGCTCTGTTTTACATCATTTTAAATAGCTTTTTCCTGCTTAAATAATTGCTCCTATGGGCTTTTAAATCTGGGAGGTTCATTTAATGGCCTATTAGTTCCTCGTGCTAAAAGTACTGAGGGTAGGAGAGGAAGGCACGACTGGGTACCAGGCCCCTCTGAAAGCCCACTGGCATGTCCAAGATGCACGTGTGTTTTGACACCCTTCAGAGGGCTTCCCAGTCTGAGCTTGGGAAGGAGGCCCTCTGGAACTCTGAATCTTTCCAGGAAGTCTATCAGGAGATAGAATGAATGAAAAGGAATAGGGAAGAGGAAGAAAGAAATTGGGGGAAATTCTGTCAAAGGGGCCCTAGAATGGGAGGCGGAGATCTCTCTTCAGTCGCAACAGTTTCTAATTACACAGGCTGTCTTTCTCCTGGAGACGTTAATCATGTGACCATCCGCTGGAGTGAGGCTAAAGGCTATTGCCCTTGTTGACTGGGCAAGCTGCCCTCTGGGGCCTCCTGCCTTTTCCATCAGAGAGCAACCTGGACCTGTTCTGCCTTGCGTCTGCCTCAGCGCCAATAATTTGATATCATGAGGAAAACATTGAGAAGAATCAGCACCTGGATTTTAGCCAGGGCTTAGTCCCATCACAGCTGCTGTGTGATGTTGGACAAGTCCCTCCCCCGAGCTAAGACTTAGTTTCCCCATTAGTAAAATGGGGTTCTGATCAGAGTCAAGTCAACAGAGTACCCTTTCCAGCAGTGGCCATAGTGATCCACTCTGACCCCAAGTATCACCACATCCTGGGGCCCCCACACCAGCCCACCCCAGGAGCACAAGCCCCATCGTTTGGTTGCCTGTCACAAAACTCAGATGGGTTGGCAGCTTCAAAAGAATTTGATTAAACACTAAGTAAGGACAGTTAGGAAGCTAAACCTGGGAATGCAGGGGCCAAACTTGCAGGTCTATTAGTGACCTCCTCAACAACCCCCCCCCCCGCCCACTATATCCTTGGCCTGAGCTTCATGGGGCAGGGTCTTGTGTGATGAGATGCAGGATTATTAGTGGCCCAGCTGCAGTCCCAGCATGGGACAAGTTGGGTCCTAAACTGAAAAGATTAAGGGGGTGCTGGTGCCAGGCAGGGGGCCTCCGGTAAGCCAAGAGCACAGATTGGGAACAAAAAAACACCTCTTCCTCTGTTTTATCCTCCAAAGGTTCAGCTTAGGGGAGGACAGGAGAAATCTTCAGAAGGGAACTCCCTAAACTTCTTGTGACCAAATCAACAGAACTCATGGGATCTGCACACACCATCTCTCCCTTCCCTTCTGTCACAGGCAAAAGGTGGTCTCTCTCTGTCTGAGGCCAGTCCCTACTTTAGTCTTCACCCCTGCTCCTCTCTTCTAAAAGAATTCTATTTTTGTTATCTGCTCTCAGTGAAGCTACTCTTGCTGAATCACCACTGCCCTGGTTACTAAAACCTAAAGGCATTTTTCAGTTATCTTACTTGACCTGTCAGCAACATTTGACACTGCTGACAATGACTTTATTCTTTGGTTTCCATGACACCACAGTCTCCTGATATCCCTGCTTTTTTTCCTGCTACCTTCCTATTTCTTGTGTTTTTTTCTATTCAACTTCTCCCATCTCTGGGTTTCCCTATAGTGTTTTCTCTCTGCTCTTTTCACTCTACAGATTCTCTCTGAGTGAGCTCATCTGTCCTGATGGCTTCAATTATTGCATATTTGAATTATCTTTTGTTGTCTAACAAAGCACCCCCAAATTCAATGGCATAAAACAACAACCGTTTATTATTCCCATGGGTCAGGAATGTGGACAGGGCACAGCAGGGCTAGCTTGACTCTTCCCCACGATGCCTGAGACCTCAGACAGAAAGACTCAAATAAGCAAGGGTAACTTAACTGATTGGAACATCTGGGGATGGAGG